TCTTCTCACGATGCTAGTCGATATGTTGGATGTGCAGAAAAGATAAATAATAAGGGTTTTATGAGTGAGTTTCTGTGCAGTAATCTGTTAGCATTTTTCGCTCGTTGCTAATTCAGAGGCTCAGCGTTAGCATTGTGGGGTTTTTTTGAAAAAAAAAAAAAAAGATCAGTTAGCTGAGTTTCTTCCCGTTACATGGACATAAAACATTCATAGTTTATTACATCTTAAGAAGCCCTCAGACACTTTTGCTTGCAGATGTTGTGATTTCGGCCCCTTCGGCGGGTCCGTGGGGCTTAAGAGGTTAAGACGCTATGGGAACCACTACGTGTCTCCTTCATTTCTTTTCTCCTTTTCCTTGTTTGGACAAAAGCTTCACTGCAAGCAAAAGTTATGTTTTTTCCTTACATGCTGTATGAGCAGCAGTCAACATAGTTACCTATGCACCACCTGCTGAAGGGCGAAGTCCCTTTCTCATGCCACCCCTGCGTTTTATTTCTTCATTCCAAACCTTAATGTGCTCGTCCAACCATGCACACGAGTGGCAGGTTGACTGAATGAGAGAGCGTGTGTGTGTGTGTGCGTCCATTGAGGTGTGTGTGTGTGTGTGTGTCACATAGCATTAAGCTTCCTATGATTAATCCGCTGCCCTTGTGCTGAGCCGGGGAATTCTGCCGATTCATCACAGCTGGCCCGGCAGGGCCAGAACGAATCACATAGGGACGCGAGGAGAATGACCACTCACTGTGCAACACACAGGAGGGCTGCCAAGAATCCTGCTGCCGCTCAACACACACACACACACATAGCCTTTCCGCTTGCTTCTCCTTTTGTTGCCTTCAATTTCCTGATTGCCCCTTATCCACCCCTCTTTCCTCCAGTCTCTTCCTGTATTTCTCTACGTTTTCGCTGCACCATCTTCATTCTACTACATGTATCAGAGCCTCGAGGTGTGCTGGCTGTATTCTCAAAGAATGTCAAAACATAAGGCCAACACACACACACACACATTGCCAGTCGTCTGTGTGTACTGCCAAACATTAGAAATCCATTTCAGCATGCAGAGACAGATCAAAGGAGAGTCAAAGGAATAGAGCTTGTGTGTGTGTGTGTGTGTGTGTGTGTGTGTGTGTGTGTGTGTGTGTGAGTGTGAGTGTGTGTGTGTGTGTTGTCCTACCTGTGGGTCCATGGCCGTCCTTGCTGGAAAAGTTACCCATACTACAGTAGTGGGGGCCACTGGTGGGGCCCTGCAGGTGCTTGATGCTCTTTAAGTTAGCCCAGACCAAGGTGGCACTGTGGAGGTTACACACACACACACACACACACACACACACACACACACACACACACACACACACACACACACACACACACACACACACACACACACACACACACACACAAAGATGATGAAGTCATGTAGCTGCTCCAGCTGATTTATTATCCAGTTTTGAACAGAACCAAACTTAAAGCACTTTATGTTCATGATAGACCATGTGACAAACAAAGCGGTCATATACATCTTAATAATGAACTACAGAAATGCACCAAACCCGATATTCTACAATAAGGGCAGTCCAAACAACACACAATAATTTTTATTTGGCGGAACTTATTTGAGCAAAACCTATATTTATATATAAAATATAATTATATTCTGACTAACGCCATTGATTTGACATATTTCCACATAAGCCATCAAAGAGTTTGAAAACGCGTTTACAAAAGTAACTTTACTTTTCGCCCACTACGTTAAAACCGACAGTTGTATTCTTAAAAGCAAAACAAAGCGGATACAAACCCTGTAGAGTGGATAAATAACTCCCAGATACCTTTTGTTTGGAGTTTGGTAAACTCTTCTTCTCCACGCTCTGCTCCTCTCAGCGCCCTCAGCCAAGCGCTCTGCCCTGCTGTGTCCTCGCGGAGGGGGAACGGTAACGGCAGAAAAACAAATGAAACTGCATTTCCTCCGAGCAAAGGTCAATCCGAGCTACATGTTGCTGCATGAAACATCTTGATAAGAACATGAAGCGTGATTTAAATCCGAACATCCAACCGAAGAGCGGAAAACAAACTCTGGACATCGATGAGCGTTGGCGCCGATAATTCCCGGATGTGCCCACTAGAGGGCACCGGCAGGCCATGTTAGGAAGAACCTGTTGCCTTTGGGGTGGGGGCCCTTCCTCATTTATCTCTGACCTAATATTATTAAGCTGACTCTCACAGACTGGTGACCCACTGACCCACAGCTCTACAATAAAGCTTGTATTTGTACTGGATTTAATGTATTCAAAATTCGCCATTAAGTGTTGGCTTCCCCATAACACCAATTGTGTTCATGCTTACAGTTGTGATTGCTTTGAACTCCCTATGCTCATGAATGACAAAACTTGCTGATTACCTTTTATTAGTGCATTAATGTTACTATTTTAGTTGCATGGGATAAAACTGGAGCATTTTATTGAGTTGATTGCCATTGTGCTATTGGCCTGCTGCCTGAAACTCTGCTCTGTTGCATTCCAGATTGAGTTGTGACTTGTAGATTTGTTTAGATGTTACTCATTATGAAGTACAAATAGTAAATTCACCTGCTCGGCCTACATATTTTATGCTTACTATGGTGTAACCTCAAATCATGATTCCATTGCAGGTTACTTGAATAAATCTGGTTGGAGCAGGTATCATGTTTGACACAAACAAAATAGATGAATAAATACAAGCACATATATGTGCACAACGTGTACAGTACACTATGAGGGCTGAACTGCACTTTGGATAAACCACTGATTAAGGTAATGATTTAGCCTTTTAAACTCCAGAACATCTTCCATATCAGTTATTCTAAAACAATGTAGCTCACTATAAGATCATTGTGATAACTCCAAGTATAATAATGAGAAATGCCTTACCCATCATGACAAAGATAGCTGGTCATTTAAAACCTGCGGTTTCTATTGTAAGTTTTAAACTTCTAGCTAAATGAATCAGTATCCAATGTCATTAAGCCTAATTAGAGCAAACAGTGTGAATTTTACTTTGACTGAAAACACAATTATTTCTTTGTACAAAAATCACAGCCTAACTCACAACACTGTTGAAAGACAATGTGACCCAGAGGTCTGACTAAGTACAACAGTAGAGCAGCATGTTTGCCAAATGCTTTTATTTCATCAAACTCTTCCAACATCTTTTCATTAAATATAAATCACATTACTAACAGAACAATTCTCGCCTTTATTGGGCACAGCTGAATTTTAATTTGCAGACTGAAATGAATTAGCACTGATGTGTGACAGACACCCCACAAGCTAACAGATTAATTGTATTGTATTCCAAAAGCAAACACATTTTCAGATATTCCTTTTTTTTTGTCAGTGCATTGTATTGGCAGTGCTCCCTCATTCGCTGCACAATGCTTAGTGAAACGGGACATTTGCTGCAGTGAGGAGACATGCACTCCCTCACACTCTGATTGAGATCAATAGGTTTTCACAGTGCTCTGTGCTCACTGTGCACCACTGCAGTATATAAAGAGAATCAATCAGAAGCAGCCAGGTGCATTACAAAGCCTCCAATGCCTGAAAATGACCATCAAATGCAGTTTGTGCCGGCGTCACAGATACTTTCAGTTTTGGTTTAAAGAACAGGTCAAGATTAATGGAGTCATACAACACATCTATGTGAATCTGTCTGTCATAAAAGTCCCAATTTACCCTGCATTTTGACTTCAGGTGTATATGGTATCAAAGAGTATCCTGTTGTTTTGAGACCATCAAAATCCCATTATGAAATTGTCAGTTTCTGTCCAGAGCAAGGTGACCAATTGTTCATTCGGTGTCTGATGCCAGTTGGAGCCATTAGCCTCCTCTGGTGAGTGGCTTACAACCATTTTGTTAGTGACCTACTGTGCTAGGTTTCTGGAGGGCCACTATTGGGGCTCTAAAAGCTCCCAACCTGCCACAACTAGCCACTGGTCAATTTGGCAGGCGGGCAAGGATGGCTTTTAAACAATGGAAAATTGGATTGCAGGGTCTGGCTGACCTCTAAGGGATGAAACACTTAACTTAATCACCATAACAAAACAAATCACCATCCTCCTTATTCACGATTTCCAGAATACTTCTTAATAAATAAAACTCCCCCTTTGAAAACTTCGCACTGACACCCCCAGCATAACAAACACAAAATCTACATTGGGTAGATTTTCAAATATTCGAATTCAAGATAATGACAGTTTGACCCTGTGCTCTCCATAAGGCACAGCACGCATTCTCAACCACACTCAGCGTCACGCCAAATCTCAAGTGCCCTTTGCACTACTTCAATTTTGGTGTTAACACAAAAGGAAACACCAATCCTATAATAAATACAGCTATGTATGGCAATGAGAAGAATGGTGGACGCTGCAGGGGGAATGGTACAAAGCTGGGACGCACAGGGACTGTCTGCCTCTCACGGGTCATTGTCTCTAATTCCAGATTAGGTTAAGGAGTATGTGTGCCAGGAATGATTTTCCACCTGGGTTAATCCCTGGAGAGAACACAGGCTTATCCAGGAGGAATCATACTGTAGTGCATTGCCTGCCTGCCATCCACAAGTAAATAAAGTCTCATAATCCAGTAAGGTGTATTTGTGCTGTTGTGAAAGTATGTTTACATGACAGACTCAGGTATCTCAAATAACTATTTTCAATCCACAAAACTGCGCATCCACTCTTCTATTCTCAATCCACCCTGACCAAACCATTGGGGGGGGATTTCATTTTTCGGAAACACAGGAAATCGCTCATTCATGTCCAACACAGCGTCTTATGATTGACAGCCCATGGCCAGAACGCGCCAACAAAAGCTGAGGCCTGTTGATGGATGGCACCTGCTTCTCCTCAGAAGAAATAAGTGAAAGACTTGGGCATAGATGGGGTGCCCAAGCACTTACACATGGCTCTCTGCCTGGGGAGTGAAGGGTGGTGGGGGGGGGGGGGGGGGGGGGGGGGGGGGGGGGGGGACACACATAGATAGAGTTGCCAACCATCTGTGTACAGAGGGCACTGCCAAGCAACAGACTATTTTTACACCAGGCCTCAATAAGACACACAATGTCTTCAAATTAAACATGGTGGCTTCTTCAAGCTACATTCAGTTTTTGGGAAGTTCCAGCATCATTACATACTCGTTCATATTGCTTCATGCCCTCTCAGTGCATTAAAGACTCTAATATTAGTGAGTAATTGATACCATCAAATAGCATGTCAACTATTTCTATATTTTGTGTTACAGAATTCATCATGACTAGAAGACGTTCAACTTCCCGCAAACATCACGGTTGAGGTCAGGCTAATATCGACACTTGCACTTCGTCAGAGAGCACATGGGCCACACTTGGGGCCAGCATAGCTACAATCTTTCATCGTGCATAAGAGTAGTTACTGGAGCTCAACCTATGACGTTGGTTATTCTATGAAACCTAGCAAGCAAAGGTTATTATTTCATGAAGACTTTCTGTCCCACAAAGGAGGGAGGTGGGATCTCCTGGCAGGCACCGCCCCGGCGATTGACGTCCAGGAGGGGGATCCTATTGCCCACCATGCTGGCATCAGTGTGGGTACCAACCCACTGCAGCACTCTGGAGGATGGCCGGTGGTAGAGGGCCAACTGCCTGGCGCTGTAGCCGCACAAGCCGATCCCCACGGCCCCCAGCAGCATCGCCATGCCCGGCATGGACCTCTCAGCGGGGGGTGCCATAGCTACATTATGGTAGGCCTGGGTCTGAAAGAGGAGAAAATAGAGGGTGAAATATGATCAGAAGAATGTTGGATTTCTTTGGTATTTTATAATATGAAAGACGAGATCAAAGCAGTTCAGAAATAACATTACTCCTTTTCTAACAATGGCCAGAGAGTTATGATTCGGCATGGATTCAGATCAATGTAAGGCTTATACAGCAAGGAGGACAACATGCCCGCCAACATTTCTGTGCATAAATAACTGGGTTCACCTCAGCTCCCTGTCTCATCCAACCCCTACATTAATCCCACAGAGAATAAAAACTCATCTTTTCCCATTTACCAAATTGCGGTCTGTCTCTTTTGACAAACAAATGGTTTGTCTATTTTGCGACATGGGCAATTACTTCAGTGGTCCCTTGATAATTATGAAGAGCAAATGATAGAAACCTCATTTAGTTTCAAATGAAGCTGTGTCATAGACAGTTAAAAAGCCATTCATGGGGCTCGCTCATCCGGTTACCATTCCCAATTACAATGCAATGGCCTGTCACCAGCTATAGGATTTCTGCATTGTTTGTGATAAACACCACAAAAAGGTGATTGTGTTTAGTGAGAAAAAACAAAAGCATACTGGAACAGAAGCCTCGAAGTAACCCGTATTTGTGGATGATGGTTATATGATATGAAAGTAATGCATTTCATCATCTTGTCACAACAATCTGTTGAGACACTCGACTGAAAGAACTGCTGCATAATGGCAACATAAGGCTTAGCGAAACCTACTTAGTGTAAACTCCTAAACGTGCCCATAAAACCAGCACCTTGAATTCACTTCATTACATCAATGGCTGCTCTCAGAACTGTCAAAGTTATTTCATCTGCCCCCTCCTTCTACTCCTCAAGGACCATTAGAGTCAGAAAACGCCAAGCACCGTGTAAAATCAAAACTCTTAAATCAAAACGAGTTGCTTGGTGCAGAAACACTGTAATAAAGTGCATCCACTTTGCTTCTTAGATCATTGGCAAGCTACTACCAATGACTCAGCACTTTATGTGACTGCCATCAGGCAATAGAGAAACCTTAAGTGTCACTACAGTGTGCATCTAAGAGCAAAAAAAATCACAGCACATCAAAACATCCCGTGACCAAGTTGCATTGAGAGATTCAAAGCAGTGTCAATTTATTTTGCGAATAACACTGCTCAAACTCACCTGCAGCAGCCGGATGTAGCCCGGAGTCAATCTGGGGACTCTGAAAAACATTTTGGAGCGTTCCACGAGTGTTTTCCTGTCAAATCAGAAATGAGTTGAAAGGGCAGAAAACACTTGGCTCTCTCTTTCTCTCTCAAGCTCCTCTTCCTGGACTCCCAGGACAGGAATCCCACGTACAGTGGGTCTGTCCGGGTGTGTGTGGACACTTCAACCTGTGCTCAGTTATCTGATGCAGGACAGGCTGCTCAGCCCTTATAACGTCTCCTTCCTGTCTTTGCATAACAGGCAGTCTCCACGTGGTGTGTCTAAGGGGATTACAGGAGCTGGCATGAAGAGACAAAGAAGCTTGTAGGTTGAAAGGAGTGCTGCCAAAGTACACCAACCTTTAGTGTAATCATCCTGAAATCATGTTATACATTAGTCTGTCTAGAACTGATTTACTATTAAGCAATCGGTAATACAAATTGTTGTTAGTATTAGGATGCACTTATACATTTGCTGTATTGATACATTGATCATTGATGATTATCAATACCTAAAATAATATAAAATATTCTTAAAAAGATTTTGATTATTTCAGCCCCCACCATTCATATAAGTGTGTATTAAATATGTATGGACAGTCAGAGTAGTGTTAATGTAAGCACTTATAGGGGGATAACACTGTATATTCGGCCAATTTCAATGTTTTTAAATATTTTTCAGCATTTTGATGAATTATTCCCTCCTTATTTCTGTAAGTTTGTAGGAAGTTTGATTCAGATTCTGATGACTTTATCGGCCATTAGATTTGCATTAACATTAAATGTGTCTTTTGCACTGGCCTATTAGACAACAACATACACAACATGAATGCATCTTAAAAACGTAATGGGACCAAATGGCAGTAATAAAAGTGCTGAGTGTTCATCCACTGGTGTGTGTATGTGCGGGTGGAGGGTGCAGGCGATTTCTAAGGGGCCGCTCTTATTGAAAATGGTCACAGCTGATGGAATAAAGGATTTCTTGTAATTGTTCTTCCTGGCCATTGGGACTTCTAGTCTGCGGCCTGATGGCTGCAACTGAAGTGCTGAGTCTGAGAAATGGCTGGAGCTCTTGTAGATCTCATTGTTGACATGAAGACAAAGTGGGAAATGATGAATGAGGTGTTGACTAATTCAGCTACATTAGCATCAAACATAACTGATTTCTGACTTCAGCACTTCCTTTAAGTGCTTTACACAGGATACCCAAGTCATCTGAAGTGAGAGCCACTCGAACAATTTTGAATCTTCAGAGTGAGTAGATTTTAATGTTTTTTTCTGGGCTTTCTAAGGCCATGTCAGCAATCTTTTAGAGCTTTAATATCATCCCTGCCCCAGGGGTCGTGGTCTCAGACTGAGGACTTATAATGAGGTAGCTGTGCTGATAACTTCTCTCTACAGTGAGAGCAGCCAACAATAACCTTCCTCTCATCTCTGGTAATAGGACCCAATTCGGCCTCCCAGCTCATGCACCCATGAATACTCCCAAACTCTGGCATTAATACTGCAAAGTCATGATGTCACTGAAACTTGTGATTCCCTCTGGAGATCTAAAGTAATATAGGAGGGAATTCAAGGCCTTTATAGGAAAAGGCAATGATGTAAAATAATAATAAGAAAGAAAGTCTGTACAAAATTCCATGACAATCCATCAAATGGATGATGATAGTTTTTTAGTCTGGACCAAAGTGGTGGAGTCGGGAATACATGGACCATTAATGATCGTCTTTATATTATGATGTTACATAAGCATATCAAGCAATATGCTTTTTGCCCTTATTGTCTCCTCTGGCTAATGTCTGCAAAACGAGTCCTTAGCGTCCATCAGACAGCACCTGGTGAGTCCATCGCTAATTGTAGGACACAGATGGCGGCCCTCAGGTTAATTTTTCTTTTTTCTGTACAGTATAACCTGCTGGTGCATCCCAACAAACAACAGAGCTGGTGTGGCAGACAAGTCTCTCTCAGGTCATCACAATGCCACCCCACAGGCGAGATAATTCTCTGCCCTTTTCTTGAACTTGCCTCCTGACTTTCAGACATGAGTAAATATTCTAGAAATAGATTACCTGAGCTGTGGACGGGTCTGTTGATGCGGAAGGTTTAGCTCCTGACACCACAGGTGGCACTGGTTCCCAAGGTCAATCAATTACAGACCAGACTACCAATCTCTCTCTGTGCTCTGGTTAAATTAAACTAAAGTAGGACGCAGGACATTTTAATGCAAGCTGTACCTCTTTTTTACACTAGAACTGGAAAATGTCTGTTATCTGTGCGCCTGCTTAAAGTGTCTATTCTTTATTCATACAAATGTCTCACTGAGTCTACCTGTGTAAATAAAGGATTAGACAAAGACTGTGTTTCTATATTGAGCTTACAGTTAGATAAGGTCAACAAGTAGGTGTTGGGATCAAGTGATGGGACTAATGATCCTTAAGTATCATCAGTTTTGCCTCCCTGAAGACCATTAATTAACCATGTGCAGGTAAGTGAAACAGCAGGTTTGAAAAGGCATGAGGAATAACATCTCCAGACATCGATTTGCAGGGAGTGTAGTGCAGATAAATGACAAGCTATTAGGGATAATAGGCTGGGTTTAAATGTCATCAAATCTGTGAGCATCGGCTGACATTTTCTTCTTCTCTGGCGATTAGAAGGTCGGGCGAGGAAGAAGGATGTTAGGTTACTGCAAGTTAAATGTTCGATCACTTTGAACTACTGTACATAAGAAAACCACCTTAACAAACAAGCAGTAAGTAACTTACTTAAGGTTGGCCTTAGTTTTGCCCAGCTCAGGAATAATGGCTTTGTTTTGCACGAAAAAGGCACAGAACTGGATTAGAAAAAGGCATAGAATAAATGGCAAAACATATTTTATAACAAAATGTATTATGCAGCATCACCACAGTGGAAATAATCCTTCAGTATAGTCTCTGTTCAGTGTGATTTACATCCTCCAGGGTGCATCAGGAGAGAGCTCTGTCTTCTTGCATAGGAAGAATGTCTGTGATCCAGTATTGGAACAGTGCAGCGACTGCAGCGGTTTCCTCTAAAACACAAAAGAGACAAAGAGCAACATTTCAGTTACAGTTGACAACACATTACCAGAGGAACACTTAGTGTTTTCAACAGAGAGACCTGCTGTTGTATCTGCAGCATAATAAATCCAATTCCCCAGCCAGTGTTCAAATGTACTTCCTAAATCTCTACATGTAGACATTCAACTCAACACGTCTGTCTCCCACCCAAGACAGAATTATTTTACTTATTTTTGAAAAGCTAGAATTCCATGTATTCAATCTATTCAGAACATCATATTATACGATTGAACCACTTATAGAATTAGATTACAGTGGTTACGTAGAATTTCTTCTGACTTGTGTGATCAAAACCTTCAAAATAATTTAGAACTTTTAATTCCAAAATTCCAAATGTATTGAACAAAGATCAGTTATATATCTTTTTATTCACAAAACATGTTTTTATCTAATAAAATGTTGTGCTTAAGTTCATATTTGTAGGCGTTCGACTTACAAAAACAACTTTTTCCCTTCTCACAGCACTTCTTACATTTTATTTATATAACAACTTTTTTTTGTTTGACGTCATAAAGTATGACTCAGACATTCAAAGCTTCATTTGATTGTTATCAAATGTAAAAAAAGAATGTTGTTCAGCCATAGAAACATCAAACAGTCGTCCCATTGCAGTGATCCAGGAATGTTAAGTAAATTACAGCAAGAGTGCCAATGCCTTTGATTTAAATGCTTACAATGTAAAGCCGAGTTAAATGAATAAATTAAAACAAACTACAAAGAGTCATTCACAAGGAATCCTTCTCTGTTCTATTTGAATGCATCAGCATTTAGAAAGAAAGCATTACTCAAACTAAATTACAAGATAGGGTGGGTGCAGGGGGGTTAGAGGAGCTCTCAGGCAGCTGCATGGAGATGACAGGCACAACCAGGCAATAGAGAACTGCAAACTGCTTTTTACACATTGTTGTCAAGGCAACACAGACAGGAAGAGTCAAGCGGCACTTTGTGACCGCCAATGCCCTGAATCTCCTGGCTGGCCTCTCTCTTGCCTCTCCTTCTCTTCCTCACACACATTCACCTGTGCATGTGACAGCAGCAAAGTCCCTGCTGATCCTATTAAGCAGCAAGCAAGCCAACCATGCAAACACACACAGGCACACGCAGAGGTGAAACGTGTCAGGTGACTCATAAGTTGTTTAGGCTATTGACAAAGTAAAAGGCAAGACGGACAAGTTCAGACATGTTGGTTAACTCATAGTGGAGGTGACCTGTTTAATATGGACAAGACCTGATCTATTAGGGCAAATTAAGGACAGGTGCGTACAAGTAAAGGCTGATGAAGGCAAGTAAGGGCAGGTATACTCGGGCAAACAATAATCATCAATATAAGGGCTCGTACAATAGGAGGCAAGTGCAGACAGACAGAGGCATGTAGCAGCCTGCAGAGGCAGGGCAAAGAGGTGCCTTGGGCAGATCCCTGCAAGCAGAGGCCAAGGGTGAAGCATGGAGCAGAATTAAATCTCCGAAACAAAAGCGGTTTAATCATGCTTTTTGCTCCTTTACTCATCGTTTATTGTTTTTCCTTAGAATACGTTTATAGGTTATAGAAATCAATTGAAGGTAAGACAGTTATCATGCCATAAATCAAATAACATTGAAAAAGAAAGAAAAGCTGGATTTCTTGGATCATTTTATACAGTACAAAAAAAGGATGTAAGAAATTGAAATGGAAAATGTAACTTATAGACACATGTGACCAAAAGGTGACCATTGGTGGCAAAGAAAGGACTCCATATATGTTGAAGTTTTTACATTTTTGAAACTCTCTTTACAACCTCTCTTGTGCAGTCCTCTGTAATTAGTATTTGACATTAATTTTTGTTTCATATAATTCTTTTATTTTTTAAGCTTGAATTTGATTAGTTTTTTTTAATGTGTTTAGGGGCCGTGGGAAATGTGAAAATCCAATGATGTATATTTTTATACTTTCTGTCTGTGAACAAATGGTGTAACTTTGTCTTTTTTTATGAAAGCATTTGAAACCCACCACTGGGTTGTGGGATTAAGTACAAAGTTCCTAACATTTTCATTTAAAGCCTTTAATGACTTTCCAGAACTTACCCCTGATTCAATTACACAGTTAAAGTATTGAATGATCATTGCATCACTGACCTGCAGACAGAGGAGAAGTGTTGTGGAGCTCCTGCAGGGCTTTTTCCAGTTTGTCTGCCTCCTGCTGCTGGACTAAGGCCTTCAGACTGTAGAGCTGCTTCAGGAGGGAGGTGGG